TTTAGTCTGTCATTCAGCTCAATTTCAGAAGTTTGAATAACAATTTGGGTTGATTTACAAATGTCTCAAGAGTGTTATTGAAAAACAATAAGATATTCTAGAATGGTATTAGATCAACATAAATTCGGGATATTTACATTTCTGGTGAATTGGTCAGATGCTCAAATAAATGAGTAGCAAATAGAATTAATGCTGGACACGTTATCGAATATTGCGATAAAATGACAAAAATAATGAAATAACGGCAAGAATGAGACTGGACATATCTGATAAATGACCAGTTCTCAAATGGACTGAATGTGCATTTTCGAGTAAAAAATGAAATTATCATATAATCTTTCTTTTAAGATTATTCCATGAGAAGTCCAATAATTCGTATAATTTCTATCCCACTGAAACCACTATATGGGGCTAAGATTCTGCAGTGGAAGTGGCAATAGCTTTGGTAATGGTATGATTAGCTTTGATATTAGAAATTAATGTTTGACATGCGCACACTGTACAATCAATAGATTTTGCCAATTTCTACCGTATTTGTTTCACTCATAAAGTCAATAAAGAAGAATGTAAAATCTACTGGAATCAGAATATTGAAAAGCTTAAAGAATATACGTTAAAAATTGTCAATGATTTTACATTTATTCACAAGAGCAAAATGTTATACGATGCTTAAAATTCTTGTTTTTAATAAACAAATTTGATACATTTTGCATTGCAGGTCACCATTAACCAACGTGACTTAAAATTAATATCAGGATGACAATTGATAGCTTTTCTTTCCATAGATTTTAAAATGTTCTATTTGAGATAAAAAAAAAAACACAAACAAACAAACAATCATACAATACTCAAAGAAAGTTTTGCAACACTTCCATTGACATTAATGAGAGGAATGTATCACCATCATACAACATAGCTCTGAAAACTATCCCGGATGTGGCTATACTTTTGGTCGTTTTCAATTTTATCATCTCCTCTGTCGGTTTGCATTAGGTTTTGGATTGAACAAATATTTGGCCTCGACCAATACTGAAGAGAAATAATTTGTTGAAATGCGCATCTGCTGCAGTAAAGAAAAATATTCAAAATAATGAGTTTTAATAAATTATGCCACATGCTATGTTGTTTCGTATCCTTTCATTTCTAACGTACTCAACTCATCGCAATAATTGAGAGAAAAAAGCCCATCTCTTTTGTAAGCCTTTATTCTTTAAATGGAGGTGTCCTCTCACCTTTGTAATAAGAATAGACATGCTGTTTTCTGTATACCTAATCATAAATATGTGACTGTTAGACTTTTATCTCTTGATCATGTTAACGAGGCCTCATTGTGAGATAATTATTGTGGTTAACTAAGTAATAATACAAATCTGGATGGTGATAAGTATATATTTACGTGGGAAGTGATAAAAATATTTACTCAAAATACCTTAATTATTCTCGGTCATTTAAACATTGTGAACATAATATTTTTTTCTGTCATAATTATACTCTGTTAATAGACATAACAAGCACAATGCTCTAGAAACACACAAAAATGAAAGATATGTAGAATAACAAAACTCTTCAGAGCTGTAAACTAAAAGTACTTTTGAAACATGCTAACCAAAGCAATTTGATTCTATGGATACGGAAACCTACATACACTTTATGGAGAACAATCAATTGTAAATAAAAATTCCGACAGCTATATTTATGAAATGTGCATTTTTTAATTAACAGACTGCATTAGGGGGGGGGGGGGGGGGGTAGGGGCTAGGATGAAATTTGAAAAAAATGCACGACAGGAGTTTTGAGTAAAAAAAAAGGCAGGATGAATAACTTGGCAAAAAAAAAAAAAGGCAGGGTGACAATTTCTGTAAAAAAAGGCTGGATAAACTAATAAAAAAAGGCAGGACAGAGATTACAACTAAAAAAAAAATGCTGGACAAAATTTTTCATCCTAGCTCCCTCACGTAAATTGCTTAGTTTGTAAGAGGTTTTTCATCATTCTCGTGTGTAGGTCTACGTATCCCTGGAGGAATATTGCTTTTACTTTTAGACAATACACTTTCAATTTGCTGTTTTAATGTTTTTATGTGGCACCACCACAACAAACACTAGTGGCCCACTTTTTCCATTGAAACACATCTGAAAGTCAATGATTAAATTGGTGGAGGTTTTTACGAGAATTTACTCGTTGGAAATGCTTGTCTTTTTGGAGCAATCTGATTTTACTTATATTTGTTGTTAGTTCAAGTAATTTTATTCTTATTCCAGATTTTGTGATTGATGTACTTTTCATTTTAAAGTTTGTTTACAAAAGTTTCTCTGCTTTATCATTTTTTCATCTATTCTGAATTTCATTATTTAGTTCCGTGTATTTTAAATGGTTTCACATTGATCTAATTGTTGATTCTTTTTGGGGGAAGGCGATGAATAATTATATATCATTAGTTTTATTTATGCTTTTGCTTTTGTGGTATTGCTGGGTTTTTTTTGGATGGAAAACGGTCAAGGTCCTTTCAATTTTATGCCTTTTTAAAATATATCCTTTGAATGAAGATTGTTTTATTTAAACTTGCTACTGCATATACATTAGTATATATATTAATAGTTAAACTGAATTTTTCACTATCAATTCTTCTAGTAGTAATTTCTTTCAATTTCATTTTACAGAAAAAAAAGCTGTTCTTTATGTGTACATAATTTATGTATGGTTTTGAGATTTTTTTGTGTTTTTTATTTATTACTGTGGATTTTGTTTGTGTTTGTTATTTGTTACTGTGGATTTTGTTAGTGTTTGTTTGACTTCAGTGTCGTTTTTTATTTGTTAATTATATTAAAAACAAGTGAAATTTGAAAAAAAAAACTAACCGCTGAACTACATTTCACTACAGTTAATTTGTGTTTATGCGTTTGTTGATTATCGTTATCTAAAATGACCAAAAATATAAGTCATACGCTACCATTATCAAACACAACTGAATTTTCAACTGACTAGAAAATATGAGATGTGTCCTCTGGGGTGTGTGAAAGTTGCTCCGGAGACCAAATATGAACACAAATAAGCCATAAAACTGATATCAGATTTAACTAATCAAGTAAAGAGAAAAGTAAATCGACGAGGAGAAAAAAAACTGCTCTGTCCAGTGCACATCGATGGGTGCTTCATAGGGAACTAAAACGGTCTACCAGATATAGTTAAAGATTTTTAAGAGAGTTTGTCTTGTACAAGTTTCCATTTTGTCTGCAGATTTCTTGAGTCTCTGTGGGTTTTTTTTTTGTGATTTTGTGATTTTGGGGGGTATTTTTATAGGTTATCTCTATCGAGTATTGGCCTTTTCAGTTTCGTCATTTCTTTGCAACTTATTCAAGTTTTCATTAACACATATTCTATTTCGACTGAATAATGTTCCAACAGGGTCTAAAAACGTTCATCCTATTAATAATTAGTATAACCTGACAAAATGACCAATGCGATGCCAGTAACTAAGTCAAACTACTATTAAAGATCAAATTACTTGTAAGATGCAAAGTTTCCATCAAGGCTTCAAGTAAAGAAACTGTAAAGCAAACATAACAGTTTGCCTCGGTAAGGTGACATTTAGGGGAAAGGGCGAGGCTTTCGTGAAGTAATAAACCGTTGATAAAAAATTATGCGCCTCCATAACGTATTTGTAAACCAAGAAATCTTTGTCACCAAAAATAAATGGATAAAGTTTATTACTGTATATGGATATTTTTTATATGGGTAAAATATTTGCTCATCTATAATATTTTTAAAAATACTTACACAATATTTATGATTTATGTTTGTCTTTTTTGAGTTGAATGTTATGATAATTTATAAATTGGCATTTTGCTGTATTTTACCATGCATGCATTATTATGTTTAGTGTAAATGTATTGAGTATAAAAATGTGTTTATGTGTATATATGATGTCCTCTTGTACACTATGTGTCTGAGGTTTAATAATAAAGTATTGTCTATTGTCTATTGTCTATTGTGTATAAAGCATTTGTTACCAAGAAATTAAATGATTACTATGCCACAAAGGTACCCAACTGAAATCATTAAGGAAATGAAAACAAGAGCGGTCTCTATTACCTCATGAAAATATTTGAAAAAGCTTAAATCAGTTAATTCACAATGAGTTATTTATGAATACATAAGAATCAAGTAAAATTTTTTTTTTTTTTTAATATGAGTTTTAATCTATTTGTAAATTTACGTATTAATATAAAACTGATAGTGTGCGATCTAATGAACATTTTTCATTGTTTTTATTTTTACCATTTCTATTCAACTTTCAATTTGCATTCCGCTTTCTTTTTGTTCAATTTCTAATTCAGCTTTCAATTTGTACAATTTCTATTCAGCTAACCGATTCTCTTTTTTTTCAACTTAAGTCTCTTATCTTTTGAATTACACAAAGATATATCAGTATTTAATTTGTTTTGAAAAATTGAAATAAAACTATTTAGAAGAAAGTAATTTGATACGAAAACAAAATATATAAGAAACAAAATTTACTCTTTTTTTAAATTGTAGTCATTGAGCCACGGTTTCTCTTTTCCTCTTTTATCTATTTATATAAATTAATACAGAAGTTTCAAAAATTTCAGAAACAAGAGAAATTATTTCAGTTTTCTCATAATCTTTTTATATTTTAAGAAATGTTTAATGCCTGCTAATCGAATGTGAAAAGCACTTTATTTAACCGCTTCGATCTGAGAATAATATTTGACGATAAATTGTATAAGAGAGGCAAAAGATACCAAAGGGACATTGTAAATGTACAAATGAGTATTAAAGATTGGTGTTGGTGATTTTTCTGTTATTCTCAAAAAGCTTTGTTTTTCTTTTTTGAATTTAAAGATTTAAAAATATTCATAAGTGAATGAATGATATTTCAAAATCCAGAAAAATAAGGCATCATTAAATAAACGGCTGCGGAAAATATTTACTTACATGTTTTCAACATCTTCATAAATAGTTAATCAACAAGAAAAATTCGTAAAATCAGAAAATTTAATAATTCACAACAATAACATGTGCAGCATTAAATAAATACATTCATATGTCATAAACAATTCATACAGTTCATATCTTTGTTTCTCATTCAGACGCAGACTTAAAAATGTTCCCAGTTGTTAGTCCTTCGAATGTTGAAGAATTAGGACATGCGCTTGGGTTTCCTAATCCTTGCTGTCTACGAATATATGGATAGGTTGCCAAATATGGCATTAGGGAGTTCCAAGCTCGTGCATGTGCATTTTGAAATGCGCTAGGCCTACTTGCGATCACAATAGGGTCCTTTGTGTCAATGTTGGAATAAGTTTGCAAAGAATTTACTGTATGTGAAACTTTATTGTCCGTACAATCGTTATCTTCACAACTGCTGTTTGCAATGTTTTCTTTCTCTGAATTGTCAGAAAGTTCACTGTTATTGTCACTCTGTGAATTATGACTCGTAGAACTAGAACAATCAACTGATGAATGAAATTTTAAATTTCTAATGTCGAAAACAGTTGGTCGTTTGATTACAATGTCATCAGGCGCTAGTAAGCTTTCTACATCAAAAAGACGCTTACGTGTTGTAGGTTGCTGTCTTGGGATTTGATTTTGAGTAATTTGGTTCTCGGATTCATCTATTATTTCAACTTTGATGTCCTCCTCTTCTTCACTTACTTTTTCGTCGGTCCCAAGATTTTCATTAGAGTTATCATCCCAGGTGTGAGAAGTTGAAGTAGGTGACGGGCTAGGACTGTCCTCATCATCCGGAACTGATAGACCCATATGTTTACGTACTCGTCTTTGTGCACGTCTCCTTCTAAAATCTCCTTTTTGAAAGTCATCAACATTCGCAGGATGTATTGCCCAATAATGTCCTTTTCCATTTGCACTTCTACCTGATTTGATAAAGCAGTCGTTAAGAGACAAATTGTGACGAATGCTATTTCTCCATCCTGGCCCTCTTGCTCTAAAATAGGGATAATTATCTAAAATCCACTGATAAATGTCACTCAGAACTAACTTTTTATCCCTGGCACTTAGAATTGCCATTGCAATTAACCCAATATAACTATGGTTTGGCTTTGGTTCCTCGTGTATGAACCGTGCCCTGGGATCTTTGAAATAGTGCTGCATGTAAGCTTCAGCTGGACTTGGATGGTATGGTGATAGTCCTAAAGCATTTGGATATCTGCTAAGTCCATACTGCAAACGGGTACTATAATCATACAGCTGTTGTGCACGCTGAATATCTAGTGCCATAGGAGAAACTCCAAAATGTAGATATGGTGTCTGCGTTGATACCTTAAGTCCATACGGCAAGACCATGGCTGTTGGGTTCGTGTTACACATTCTCGTGACAGTGATGTTTAGTTGACAAATACTTTTCAACAGTTTTTGTGTGAGGCAATTTTACCTTTGTTGTATTTCTATACTGACTATAAACTTTATACAAATCATTTAAAATACCGATCTTGTCATCTCTATCATTTGACTACGGTGATTGGTCGACAGCTAATGAATATTCAATACTTTCCTAATACAGCAAATGTATCGAATTTCTCCTCCAATCAAAAAATGCTGCGATTTGATTTGTCTTACAGCTTTTACAGGATCAACATTAAAGAAAAATAAAGCTCTGTGCGATGTTTTTGTTTTGTTTTGGTAAAATATTTATTTTTCAGTGAGGAATATTGTTGATTATTTGCAAACGATATATAATACAAATTGTTACTAAATTAACGAAATGAAGACATGCATGATTTAGCGATAAAATCTTGTGCTTAATTTTTGTAGTACCATATTTAAAATTTCTTCAAAAGTAGGATTAAGAAAAAAAGGTTGTTAAATCAGAAATATTTTTTTACATACCAGTTTTAATTCAATTAACATGAAAATATTTTCATAAATTTAAAGCGATGGACCCCAAACTTGTAAGTTTATTGTAGTCTATACAGTTCTCTAAACAAATAAAAAAAACATTATTTTGAATTCAATATTTAGATTAATGAATTTATTTCATATCTCTAACTTTATCTTATTTTATTTCGAAGAAAAGCTTTTCTTGTCGTTTTTGTTGATGACTTGTGTTAATATAATTCAACAAATGCGGTAATGGATTTTCACTTATTATGTCATGTGAAAATACAATTTTCTTCAGAGACGAATACAAAGAACAAAATCAGCTTACAATAAAAAAATTAGATAAATTGCTTGACTTTCTAATTAATAAGGCTTTCTGAACAATCTTAGTATCTATATCTCACAAAAGATCAAGTGCACAATCTTTTCTGTTATAGGAGCATGAGAGTATGGTCATAGAATTCCAGATTTATTAGTCCGGGAAGTTAATAATTTTTATGATAAATGCTTATTTTGGAATTTTTTAGGAAAAAAATGGAAAATCCAAAGAAAATTGTGACTTGTCCGGTATATCGAATAAGAAATGTGTGAGTGAAGAATTTTTAATCTTGTTTCTAGTATAACCATGCCAAAACAAGTAATTTCTGTACTTATTTTCCACAATTTTTAGACGGATCTGCAAACGTTTGATTCATTTTTCTGTTTTTAAATTTTATTAGTTACATTTGAGAGCAAAAGTTACCCAGAAGATCCACTTTTCTAATTTTTGTAAAAACTATATCTGTTATTTAAAATTCGATTTCTCGTCAAAAATAAGTTAAACAATGATTTGGATTTCTCTTATAAAAGTTGCGTTTGTCGAACCGAAATCATTCTTCTTCAAAGATAACGAATCTGCTTTTCCCATTTCTTCTATATTACATTATTTGGCACTGGAGTTTCATTATTTTGAACACAGAAATAAAATGAAAATAAATTTGTTTTCTTGAAAGTATTATTTTGTTGTTTTATTTTGTTTTGTTTGTTGTTGTTTTGTTTTAGTGAAATAATTCGATGCACGGCAGTCCCCTTGGTAACATTGTATTAGTCCCTTTCTGGCCGTTGGTACTTAATGTTGTCATTCTTTATCTAGCCGTTGGTACTAACGTATGTCATAGCAAATAATACCGCATCACCGCAGTCATGTCGTTCCCTTGACATTTCACGTAACTGTTGTTAATTTTCTTGTACTCGTTTTACGGTCATCTCAAAGAAGGTGTGAAAATGGTATATTTGACTCGAATAGAAAAATCTAAGAACTAGTTATTGGAAAATGCTTATATAGAAAAAACAAACGTCACGTTATCAAGGAAAAAACTTCGTACACACGTATTCTACATGTTGTAAATATTGATATTTCAAAACTGATTTTTATAAATAAAACCCTCATACATTAAACAGTAAACTTAAAAACATACTGTTCAAATGTGCAGATACAAGACATAAGTTGAGCATGCAAAATGGTAAGCTACGCATGTATTTAAAATTTAAATGTTCATTTGAACGGAAGAAATATCTGTATTTTTTTTTCAAGACTTCAAATAAAAAAAGAAAACACTACACAAAGTTCATAATAAAGAACCATCAGGTAAAGTTTGTAACTGGGCGATACACTAAATAATGTGTGTCATATGAAGAAAAAATATGTGACAGATGTTTCTCTGATGATGTTGAGGATGAAATTCATTTTCTTTTACAATGTTCTTTTTTTTAATCAGCAAAGAAAGTTATTTCTTGATTATGTTACCAAAGAATGTCCATCTTTTTCTAACTTGTCCTGTCTTAACAGACACACATGGTTAATGACTGTGGAAGATATGTAATTAACCTTAAAAAAAGCGAATTTATCTTAGAAAACCTTCCAATTAAACTATATGCTAATATTAGCTGAGTAATATTCCATGATATATTGCACTTACAATATAATTGTTTGGCTCTTTGTACAATTATTTGTGCACTACAAAGGTATCTTTTATAATATGTTAAGCTGTACAATCATTGTAAAATTGTTATATTTTGAGAATATTGCCATTGAGGGTCCATGTTTGGTCAATAAAATCTTGAATCTTGGTATAGTTTTGCAAATTAGGTATAAAAAAAGAACCGATGTACGGTCAACCAGACTGAAACACAATAGAAAAATTGAATATAATGTGTCGCTAAAAAGTAACATATATCGCAAAATTTTAAAACAGATATGCCATTATATTAGGAACTCAACTTTTTTAGTATTAAGCAATCTATAAGTAATCCTTTACATTATTTTCTAATTTTCTCATTTCGTACCGCTGTAATATTTGCCTATAAACTTTTTCAAATTATTGTAACATATTTAAAACACAAATGCTATTATTTTCTTGTTAGTTTACAAGACAAGACAAGACAAAATATTTTATTTCCTCAGACACAAACGTGTACAAGAGGTCGTGTACATGTGCATTCACATACTTATTTTTATATATGGTACCTATAATCCCTAATTTTCAATTTTACATTTTCTTCAAATGTTACTTAATTCTCAGTGACGCTGCTAGAAACAATTTTTGGTTAACTGATAAAAACTTACTGGTACTACATATATCATATCATGCTACTACTATATCCTTAAAAATTACATTATATTTTTTTTTCTAATCGGATTCAATAACCTATATATTTAATTGTTTTATCTTCTTTCCTTGGTTATCATTTAAGTATTACTACTTGGATCATCGTATACGACAATCCTGGCGAGACATTGTCTTTTATGTTGAGAGCCCATAGTTTGTGAGAGTATTGAAAAAGAGTTAGTTGTATGTTGTATTTGCGCTTTTCAATGCCAATGTAGTTTCTACTGGGCACGGATTTTGTCTTAATTATGGTTCTTCTAAACCGTTTTTTTTTTCATTTCAAACCTCAAATGAGGTCAAGGTTTAGGGGAAGAGAATTTACATCGGCCAATGATTTATGTTTCGGTTGAAAAATACGGTAACAATTGGACTCATTAAACATTCGAAGTATTTTCTCACATTTTGTTAATGTTTTTGTTTTAATCGTGGAATAATATTATCCCATCTAATTTTTTTTTCCAGTAATGGATGTAAATTTCAAAACAAGGTTGACTTTCATTAATTATAATTTCCAAATCCTAGAATTATATTCGTTTGTAAATCACATACCCTCGAATGTCTTTGCACAAATATATATATATATATATATATATATAGACATTTTCTGTTTACAAAACGGTATCCGTTTTAAAATATTAAGCCGATTTGTAATTTAGAAATTGTATTACAGAGATTTTCCTCCTTACATTTTTATTCCTTTTGATTAGTTTCATAGACAATTGATACGTTTCTTTGATAATTTAAGAACAAAATAAATCATACATATATTTCTTAAATGATTATAATTTTAATATTTCTATTATCAACTCATAATTCGGTAGTATATTTCATCAATTCTTGTTCAACAATATCAAATATTATATTCATGTGTTTAAAAACACCCTTTCTTGAATTATGATTTAATTTATCCTATTCAGAGAAGAGTAAATTACACAATACTAACATATGCTCTTTACAATATTTGGAATAATACTTTTTTAGTTGAGCACTAAACATACAAGGTCATATTTTTCTACAAATATTGTTGATGAATTGAGAATGAAGTTTTCTATCATGAATGTAACAAAAATAAGCGTAATGTACTGAAATTACATTGTAAATTGTTTTGTGAGCTGAAATGTACATTTCACAAATTGAAATAAATTACCAACTCAATCTAGACCACCATCATGCACAACTTCTCAGTAACATTTATTCATTTAAGAAGACGTCTTTCATGCATTTTAATTAATACACCTAAATTGGTTTTGATTTTTATATTCAATGCTACCTATTTGCAAACTGTCGTTGTAGACTCGGACCGATTGTCAAACACTAAATTGTTTTGTGGAAATGTCAGAATCGGGTACGGAAACGGACCTGTCATTGACAAAACTGTAAATGCCCGCTGCGACAAAACCTCTGCTTATACCGGTCGCTATCTATCTCACGGGTAATTATGATCACCTGTTAAAACGGATTGTTAAGTAATTGTAATTCTCTGTACGTGACATATGATTTAATGTCCATCATTCATGATAATAGGTCATCAGAAAAGACCGAGTACGTCCAGTTGGCACCCGTGGCGGAGTTGCTAACATACCGCCAAGATTCTAGGATTGCATTTTTTATCGTAACTCGCCAGACCCAGGATTAGCACCGCTGGTTTGAATTAATCAGAATACAAAAAGACTTAAAACATTCACGGTCTAATTTCAAGGCGATCTTTATCGCACATATGCACTGTCTGACATTGAGTTGTGGTCAAGTTTTTTTTAATTCCAATAATTTATCCGTTATTCTTTTACGACAGTTCCAATACCTTGATTTTTTTCAAACAAAATAATTCCTTTGTTAACATTTTTTCTCCGACTTCTTTTCGTTGTAAAGAAATGT